AGACTGGAGTTAGAGGCATTTTGGAACCAGTACAGGTACCCGCACTGGTTGAGAGAGATATGGACATAATGGAGGAGAGGAAAGTTAAAGACTTCCTTCAGGCTGGTTGTGGTTGCTCAGACACCTGCTGGAAAAAGTAACCATTTTACTTGAGAGCAACCAGAACTAGCTTCCCTGGTAAAAATAAAATATATTTTTCATATATTTTGCATGCAACTTTTCTCTGTTACATATGTTTGGCATAGATGTTAAATGTATGTTATTTATAGTAATCTATTTCACATATATATTGTACTTATGTTTTTCCTATAGGTAAAAATTTGTTCATCGGTGCATTTAATTGACATATATACCGTAGATCAGGAAATTAGTGTGGTAGAAAATTTTTGAGTTTTAAAATTGTGCTGTGATTTAATTTTTGCTCAACAAGACTGTCATGTATTATTGAATGTGGCATGTAATTTTAGTGGTGATCTAATTTTTACAAAATTCTAATCCAGTAAAATTAAAATCACAGAAAAAATTTCCAGATAGATGGTATGTGTTTTATGAAACATTTTTGTGCACATATATGTGATTTATGTGCTATTATAATGAAAATATATGCAACAATAATGTACTTTCACACATATATGCAAATTATATGTATATTGAAGTGCCACACCTTATTTAATAATTATTACTAGCTGTGTTACATGTAAGTGTGCTTTAGACAAGTCACCAGGCCTGGGGTCAATTACAATTAAATGTAATCTATTACTATTACTATTACTTGAAAATTTTAACTATTATATTACTATTACTATTACAGCCTTTTTTCAAAGTAATCTATTACTATTACAACAAAGTATATTACTATTACAATTACTATTACAATACGCCATAGATTTTTATAGGTTACTGATAAAAATAATGTAATTTTGAAGTTAATCTAAGCCATTTTATAGTTTTGAATTAAGAATGCTTTGTTATATTTATGATAAAAAGTCTCAGTACTAAGCAATAGTTCCTGGCTAACGTGCTATTTTCCTATTGTTACTTATTAGTGTAACACTACAAGTAATAGCTATGTAATATTGAGATTACATATTGCTTTGACCATTATTACTATTACTATTACTATTACTTCCTGTTGCCAAAGATTCTATTACTATTACTATTACTATTACTTGGTGCCCTGTAATCGTTACTATTACAATTACTATTACATATTACTATTACCCCAGGCCTGCAAGTCACATGGCAAATAGAAGGGTAAGATGATAGAATAATACATGTATTTATAGAAGAAGCCTATTTTAATCTAATGAAAAGTATTTGGGAATGTCTCCGATGTAAAAAGAACCAGTGTCTTCAGTGCTAATAATGATACATTTTTTCTTTATTTTACATAGTGAAACTTCGGCTTGATGGTACCTATAATAAGGCTATATAATAAATCTATTATTTTAAAGCTACCTTGAAAATGGATGAAGATATTTATGTAAGTGTGGGACTACACAAGCTGCCCTGTTATCAAGAACTCTAACGATTGCCTTGACTTCATTTAATTGTCTTATAAATTGAAACTGCTCAATCAAGCAGTGCTGATTAGTGTCAAGCTGCACTGCATAGTCAGCTATTTTTTGGGACCTCTTATACTGCCTGGAGGAAATTTTTCCCACTTTAAGCATAAACAATTGCTTTATATTTGATGTGACAGCTTTGGTGGGAATTCCTATTTCATCAACAGTTACATGACATCTGTAATATAGGAGTAGAAATCTGTAACCATTTTCATGCTTATTTATATGTGTATTTACCTTTCTGGTCTTGTTTTTAGAAAGTAACATTGGTGTAATAGATTGTCATTGACTTGTGACATTTTGGAGTGGACAAAGTGAACAAAAGCAACACCTTCTGCTATCTAAAAAAGTAAACAATCATAATACAATATTTTAAATAAATGTATAATTTACCTGCATGTGAACATTATTTGTTTCATGAAGCAGCTTCTTTACAGCCGCATTTGCATTTTCAAATTCGTAGCAGGTGTTTGCCCAGAGTGGTTCAAGCTCTTTAACAGCTTGTGGCATGTGTAGTAAATAGTGAAGAGTGAGAGTTGCATGTCTTTCACCTACATGCATTACATATAGCTCTGTTAAATTTTGGATTTTCATTTTATATTTTTAGAAATTAATGAAGGTGCGGTCATGTGCAAATGGAAGTTTTGGCCCACATAATTTTGCACAGGTTCATTTCATTACAATGGTGGTAATTGTGAC